GGGGGGACGGAGGGGTGGAAGTGGAGGGGGGATGTTTTAACAACTCCAGATGTTTTCATTGCCGACGTAGAATTGTAACATATGTTGACAGTGCCGTATGTTGTGTATACCACTGTGTTCTGTTATTAAATATTTCTTATAGGATTGGATTGGTTTAAAGTGTCACCCGGGCCAGTCCACCTGTCAAAATAGGCGGGTGCAGCTTCCTTGTGTCAGTTTGCAGCCCATTAAATCATAAACAATTTTAATTAAAAGTGTTTTACTGAATTTTGTCAAATTTATTTTTATTTCTGACATTTGTGTATGTTATTCAAACTTTTAATACACCTAATAGAATAGACTTACCTATCTAAGAAGGACAGCATTACATACTGATGTTATCTACGATATCAAATAAATTTCTTGTTTGTTTTCTTCAAGAAATCATGCGTTGATTATTTTACGATATTATACATAATATAAATGTTCACCCATTATTATGCCTAAGTATCTGATTGTAAAATACTTGTAATCTAGCTAAACGGATAAATAAGTCCATTGCCTTCCGAGATAACGAAGTAAAATGGTGGTTTGTGTTCCATTACCATTCCTGTTCTAGCGCTTCTTTCTGTAACTGTTCATGTTGCTGTGGAAATGATAAGTAGGTCTTTTCAGACAGGCATGCTGCCAATTGAAAACAATATTTTGAAAATAAAATATTTATCAAAACCAGAAAATATGAAAACTAAGTAAAATGTTCTCAGAGACTTACTGTGTATTATATTTGATAGTTGAAGTGATCGCTATATTGGTCTAGGAAATTCAAAAACAAGAACAAATGTTTTTTTTATAGATAATATAACAGAAAGTAAATAAGCATGATAAAACAATACACATTACAATATTAAACGTTCCAATGGTGTCGAGGTTTTACAATATTAAACGTTCCAATGGTGTCGAGGTTTTCCCTGTAATACACATTACAATATTAAACGTTCCAATGGTGTCGAGGTTTTCCCTGTAATACACATTACAATATTAAACGTTCCAATGGTGTCGAGGTTTTCACTGTTATATTCATTACAATGTTTTACAAAATAGATCTTAGATAAACTTTAATGAAACCTGACTTTACTGAAATCTAACTTTAATAACTTGGTACTTCCTTGATCGGTTTCTCTGGCATAAAACCTGTTTAAAATGTTTTACCTGACCAAATGATCCAGTCCCTCTCGAAGTCGTTTGTCGTTGTATATAGGTAAAAACTGCCTGTTTTGTTACTTACATCTTTTCTCTGTTATTTCAGAAATGCCGCCAATCTTTCTGGAGGAACCAGAGTCAGCTGTGATACCCAATATGGCGTCTGTGACGTTACCATGTAAAGTAACGCCATCTAGTGCTAAAGTAAGATGGCGATTCAATATGGAATTCATAGAACCAGGAAAAAACGACAGGCAAGGATTTACGTTCACAGGGACAAACTTACATATAACAAAATTCAAACATCGGCGGAATGGGATTAATCACGAAGGGATTTACGAGTGTATCGCGGAAACTCCTCAAGGATCTGTTACTAGCCGACCTGCACAATTAACAAGAGCAGGTAAGTTGCCACACAAATGCGACATTTTCACATATCAAATAAACTGTCTAATATGTTTTCTGGAAGTCTACATTCATTAGATTGTTTTGCACCTGTTCTTATTTGGCCAAGTATGTTTACATTAAGGGTGTATACTACCTTAATATCCACCTCTATTCCAAGAGAGTTCTACCCTTGGAAATTGGTCTGCGGTGGACGAGTGGTTAAGGCATCTGACATTCTGCTACCAATAGCCCTCAACTGCTGGGTAGCGGGTTCGAGACCTACATGGGGCATTCGCCAGGTACTGGCCGTAGGTCGGTGGTTTTTCTCGGCTTTCCTCCACCATCAAAACCTGACACTTCCTTGAATGACCATAGCTGTTAATAGGACGTAAAATACAAACAAACCAAAACCAAAACGGTTTATATTGAGATCGGCAGAAATGTAAACAGGAAAGTAGGTATTGGAAACACAAAAATTCCGACCAGTCAGATAATATTACTTCCTTGCTTAATGTCTTGTTATGATAATGGGATGCTGAAATATAGCAAATGGGGTTGATGGTTTTGTTTTAACTTATTCACCCCTGAACACAACATTTAGACTCTTCCAATTCAAAGGTTGGAATAGGGCATTCTGAAATTTCAGGGGTAAATGAGTTCAAGCTGCTTCACATAGAATCCTATTCTTATACGGAAATCAGCAAGCTAGATTTTTTTTGTAGAAGGAATAGTTACAAACTTTTACTGGTAAAAATCTGAGGGAAATATTTCTTAGCTAATTCATAGGCAAATGTTTGTTTTACCACTGATTTTTGATTCTAAAGAGCTCTGTAGGAAATGTTTATTACCACCGATTTTTGATTCTAAAGAGCTCTGTAGGAAATGAACAAGTCAGAAACTCTATGAATCTCATTAACAAACTTGTTTGATACAAAAAATAAAGATTTTCCAAATTATCAGCATTAGACAGACTTTGATTCTGTCTCTAACATCGAGCTGATTAATTGCTTTCAAGATACAGGAATGATGAACTAGAGAATGGCGGACCATCTACACACCATCAGACGGTTTCCTTCGCTTTAAGATTAGGTGTTGTGGTTGCAAATGCAATATTACGATGCACTCGAGAAATGTTGAATGAAGCCTCCCTCTCGCCCTGTTTCTGTGACTATTGGCTCCCCTATTTTCTCAAACTGTTTTGTTGAATATGACAAGTCGCAATTACTCTATAGGATATACAGTGTATCACAAAAGAAAAACGGATTTCGTATCGGCTAATATAATACGTCTTATCGTGAATGTAGATAAGCGTGCCTAACAAGATGGTAAACGATTAGATATTTCAGAGCTTGAGATTCTGAACTGCCAGCGATTGGCCTAGAAAACACAAGGAGTTTACATAATCAGATAATTGGTGACCTTTTGTCCCCTGTTATCCTAATAGGACTGTTCTTACGATTGAGTTGGGCTAGTCCACTATAGGATGAAGGTAGGGTAGGTTTTTAGGTGGTTCTCAATGACGGTATCAGCTACAGTGTTTATTGTTAGACAGTGTAGATTGGTGCACGGTTATTTTAGATACTTTAATGTAACGGTTAATAAAATGGCACGGTGGAAAACCTGAACGTTGTGGTAGGCTGTTGCTGTATATTAATTCATTTGTTCCTAAGGTCTCCTCCTCTATGACAATAAACAACGTTTTTATTTGTTGTAAAAACTTCTCTTCCAAAACCTTTTAAACAATAAAACCGTGTTTTTACGGATATACACTAAATCTAAAATAAATACTTAGCTTACTTTTAATAGACTTCTCGAGAGTCGAATCCTGTGTTAGATTAATACAACCTTTTACCCCTTGAGGGCAAAATGGGCAAAATGGGCAAATCTGGATCGAAGGGTAGGATTCTTAAATTTTAAAACACAAGACGTAAGTATATATTGATGAATTTGATTGGTTCATTCTTATTGATAAATTGATTTGATTGGTCCATTCTAGTTTACACAGTGAGTTGTCCAGCTGTCGTGGTGAGTTTTTTAGCGGTTACTACATAAATCTATCGGTGCACAAGGTACAGCCATCTGTGATCAGAATGTACAAATTAATGTACACCTTTGCTATCTCCCCCGGTTAGAGAGCTCGCTAAAGGGAATCTATCACTGGCAGGATTTTCCATGTCAGAGTTGAGAAGTATCTACAGGAAGTCGGGTTATCGTGGTTATAAATGATTTGGCTACATTTAGATCTCAAGTAAAATATTTACACATGATAAGAATGTGAGAGAAAAAACAACATTTGCTCATTAATATCAATGTGTATATCCGTTTTTATTGGGTAAGCGTAGAGGGTATGAAAGCGACATGTTATACCTCGGGGTGAGAAAGAGCTCCGATCAACTTGACATGTAGCCATGTTGGTTAAAAGAGCTACTTTGAAAATTGAAATTTGATATCAGAGAATTTCTGGAGATAATTTTGACCTAGAGTCTATCTAGAGTTGTCCCCCTTTCTAGGTGTACACTGTTTTTAAAGATGTGAAAGTAATGATTCGTAGAATTATGTTTAAATCTGTCAAAACATTTTACCACAAAAAATATACTTTTCATGATAAATTTTGTTTAGGTTCATTTAACCCAAAATAATTAAGGCACTCTCCACTAGCAGTATATTTGCTTAAAATTATTTTATGTTTCTCAGTAGATGAAAAAGGACAATATTTTCCAATATATATCTGAAGTCAAAATTATGCTTCTTAAGAAAAAAAATGTAGAAAGAAAAAGATCCACTGTTTGACAGTTCAGTATTAACTTTGTAGAAAACCATCAATAGATAACTGCACATTATAGTTGTTATGATCTGTTACAAGTGTCCACCTAGGCTCTGAATCAGGGTTTGATCTGTGACGAGTGGCCATCTACGGTCTGAATCATGGTTTGATCTGTGACAAGTGGCCGGCTACGGTCTGAATCAGGGTTTGATCTGTAACAAGTGTCCACCTAGGGTCTGAATCCTGAAGCATGGTTGGGTTTGTTTAAAGTATCTGCCTGGAGTTGGAGTTCTGAATCAAGGTTTGATCTGTGACAAGTGGCCTTCTACGGTCTGAATCAGGGTTTGATTTGTGACAAGTTGCCATCTACGGTCTGAATCAGGGTTAGATCTGTTACAAGTGTCCACCTAGGCTCTGAATCAGGGTTTGATCTGTGACCAGTGGCCACTTAGGGTCTGAATCAGTGTTTGAGCTGTGACAACTTGCTATCTACGTTCTGAAGCAGGGTTTGATCTGTGACAAGTGCCCACCTAGGGTCTGAATCAGGGTTTGATCTGTGACAAGTGGCCACCTACAGTCTGAATCAGGGTTTGATCTGTGACAAGTGTCCACCTAGGGTCTGAATCAGGGTTTGATCTGTGACAAGTATCCACCTAGGGTCTGAATCAGGGTTTGATCTGTGACAGGTGTCCACCTAGGTTCTGAATCAGGGTTTGATCTGTTACAAGTGTCCACCTAGGGTCTGAATCAGGGTTTGATCTGTGACAAGTATCCACCTAGGGTCCAAATCCTGAAGCATGGTTGGGTTTGTTTAAAGTATCGGCCTGGAGTTGGAGTTCTGAATCAAGGTTTGATCTGTGACAAGCCTCCACCTACATTACTGAATCAGGGCTTGATTTGTTAGAATTGTCCATCTACCTAGGGTTCCAATCTGAATCCAGGTACACTCTGCTACAAACATCCACCTAGGGTTCCAATCTTAATCCAAGTTAAATATTTTAAAAAACGTTTTATTGAACTCTTGCTATAAGTCCTTGTATATCCTTAGCGTGTGGTTATCCTAATCTGGGTTGTAAATAGTGATGTCCGTACAGATCAAAAACATAATATCAAAAAGGAAGTCGGACAATTGAGGCATCTGAACTACAATTATCAGTGACCAGGGCCTGTATTCATGAAACCGTTCTCATATACTCAGATTTTACTTCAAAAACGTCAAATTTCTTCTTCCCGTGACAGATTAATAATCAAGTCATAATTTGTTATTGATATCAAATCATTTTGGTGAGCACCATTTTCAATCTTTCGGCTTGAGTCTATGACCATGTTACTTGAGCATGAGAACGGTTTCATGAATGCGGACCCAGGTTCCGACCTTCGTCTTGCCCTCTATATTTTCCCCGTACTGTTATACAAGTAACAATCAAAGCTTGTTTTTTGTCGTTGTTTAGTCATCTTGAAAACATTATTAATCATGTTCTAATCTTTGTTTCAGTATTAAAAAAGTTTGGACCTAGAACAAATTTATCATTAAATACGACGGACGGTCATGATGTTGTGTTGCCGTGTCTGCCACCCGAAAGTCATCCGCCAGCTAACATCATTTTTGAATTCAATGGAACAATTATTTCAGGATCATCAGGTAAAAAAATGAAAGAGGAGCACATAACATACCTAATGAGGTTATGTTTGGACGTTACTTTGTCATGTACTTCCATATATGGTTGTTTGACCTTATAAGGAATTGTCTTATAATATATATATATATGCATCCATATAATGTTATATGACCTTACAAGGGAATGTGTTATAATAATCACTAAAACTACTGCTTTAATTCAATTGTATATATGTAGGAAATATATAAAACCAAATTTCAACAAAAGATGAAGTGAAGATCTTAAAATAGCAGAGGGAAGGATAACACTATTTATTTTGCTCTTGTAAGGGAGTGTTAGAACCTCCCTGAAATAATTCAAAAATATAACTCACACAGCAAATAAAAATTAAAAGTCGGCAAGATGAGATGAACATTTTAGAAGTAGGAACACTTCAGTTTGGTTTAAAACCTGGGTTATATTTATGTTTTAGGGATTCTCTGACATGAGAGTAATACATTTAAATTATAGACATATGGTAAAACTGCAATTTACAAAATATATATTCTACAATCACCTCATGTACACCTGTGCTGCTACTGAGAATGGTTTCTCATGTAACGCTCCACTAAGTGGCCGACAGTCTGGGAGTAGATTATTGAAATTAAGATATGCTACATAACTAGTCTAACAGAAGAGCCGGGAGGGGGTAATTTACTAGTTAGGGAGAACGGTGGAGAAGGATGAGGGTAGGGGGCTTTGGCAGGGAGGGCAATCTACACTAACTTCAGGTGACTCAACCCTAATGTTAGCTAATTGGTCGATGTAGGGAAGTTGCAAACCTATTTCTCGTAATTCTCAGGCAGAAACAGGATAGACTACAGAATGTTATCTTATACTTATTGAATTATTCTGATATAAGGGGAAGTAATGTTTACAGGCAGAGGTTAGCAGATAAACAGATCAGGGAAAAAAGAATCTTCAACATACAAAAATGGGAAGATTCAAGGATGGAGAATCTTCAAGAATAAAATGGGAAGATTTGAAAATGAAGATTTATGAAATGTTGATATTTAAAGATGGAGAACTTTGAAGCGTGAAAGTGTAAATATTGAAACAAGGAGAAAATGGAAGGATGCATAAACAGGACAGCTGTCAAAGTGGGCAAAAACAAACATATATGCTTAGATTTGAGGGGATAATATTGTACCAATATCTTTGTGAGTATTTAATTAGCATGGTGATATGAAACATTTTAATATGGTGATGACATAGACAAATATTAGAATGGGATAGATCTGGAGGTGGAGAGGAACCAAAGTAGTAAAAGACTTTTTAAGTTAAAGAACAAACGGAAATGTGAAAACCTACTAAATAAACCAATGTTATCATCTTAGACATTTGATTCACGTGTCTGCCTATATATACCTATATATACCAGACCATGTTCAGTGGGTCGATTTATAAACAAAACTTGTAAGAAGTTTCCCCTAACACAACCGATACGCGGCCATATTAAGGGGATATAAGTGATAATAAGAGTGAAACACATGTTTTGGCAGCAATGTAGCCTCAGACTTGGTACACAAGGTTTTTTTTAGCTGCTTTTTTTTCTTTTTCCTTCGACAATAAATTAGATTCCACAGGAAAAGAAGTCGTTTACTGTTTCCATTTTCTAAAGAGTTTTTGACAGTTCTGATATGGCTAGGGCTATATCCTACACCCCCTCCCTTCGCTAATGGATCTAGTTTCTGAGGTTGGGATTGTGAGATGGAGAGCCTGGAGATCTCTCGTGTTGTGGATGTGTATCTGTATACTGGAGTAGGCTGCAAGCTGTCCTAGACTGCACTGATCCGGGCTGTTATCACAGGCTTGGGGCTAGCCATGTAGAGAAATCACAGCACACAACAGTGGCTAGAAGTTTCTTCAAATCCACAGCCATGGCGAATGTATTGTGATACGTGATTATCAACAGATATAAAACGCTTTTTTTTAGCTTTTTGAAATTTCTCAATTGCAGTCTGTTTGTGCTCTGAGTTTGGGAGGAATTATCTGAACTTTTGACCTCAAGAATAGTTTGTGTTTCAAATCGCTTAGGTTTAAAGTGTGTTTTGCTAATCAAGAAATAAAAACAACATGTTCCCAGATGGTGCGATGGGTTTCCACTCAGTGTGTTCCTGTCTGTGGAATTTGATCACGGCTTCAGCAATTAACAGAAGGAAACTTTTGAATATTCAGGGGAGACAACTTATTATCAAATTTGTCACTTATTACTGTTTCCTTTTTCATAAAAGTTCTTTGATAATTTGATTATTTATGATTTTACATCTTCACTATGATTTGACATATTTACTAAGATTTTTACATCTTCGGAAAAGCTATAAAGTCATATGACGATGACGTACATGAATAATTGACCATTTAAAGTTTAATCTCGCTGAAATGTCATAACTCTGACATGTTAACTTAACAACTCATCTAATGACTTTATTCTGAAAAAATATATTGACAGATGTTTTAGCATAAAGAAGTAAAAAATAAATTAAATAAGTATGTTTATATCTGTCTAGTGGTCCTTCTACTGCTTCTAGATTTAACTCATTCACCTCTGAAATTTCATAATGAACTATTCCAAACTTTGAATTGGAAGAGTTCAAATGTGTCTTCAGAGGTGAATGAGGTCAAGGAAAAAGGATATAGAACTACAACTTAAAAAGAACAATCCGACTCCAAAAAAAATAAATATGTGGTCTAAAATTGTTGTAGCATCTTAATTATGACAGACAGAACAATTGTTAAGAATAAACTTAAACAAATATTTTAATAAAGCCTTATAATTGCTTCAGAAAGACTAAAGCATCAAAGCTAATATTATAAAACTGGAATCCCTAAACTTTAGAGAAATACATGCTTATGTTGATGATACAACTGTTTTAAACTGTTGATGATACAACTGTTTTTAACCCTTTCACCCTATGTAACTTGAGTAGACTCTACTATGCTTTGATATGGATGAGTCCATTATGGTCCACAGTGGTGAAATAGGGCAAAGATCTTGGGACTTAATCATTTTTACAAAAAATTAAGATGAAGGAAAGGTTCAATTTTCTGGACAGCACAGGCCGTTTATAATGAATCTCAGGACGGGAGTGTATTATCTTTATGGAAAAAAGTACGGGGATGGGGGAATGTTATTCTGTTGATGGCCTAATTGTTTTGGACATTTCCGAACAGTAGCCTACTATCACTATTACACTAAGTGGGGCGGAATACAATCCTATGTGACCTTATAATTGTCTGGAACGTCCGCGACATTTGGCCACTAGCTGTGAAATACTGACTGGGACTTAGAGCCGTGTTAACAAAGGTGGTAGGGGTTTATTTTTAAACCATTCTTATAAAAAAACATCACAACACCATCTGTGAATCTGAGTCATGGCCGTTAAAAAAAAAAAAACTATTTCTGGATTTTTACTTGAATCCTTCCAATTTGACGAGACGGTCATTAAGGAATTCTTGGTGTTGTTATCAAGTGTGTTTCCTAGTTTTATTGGGGTTTTGTTTTCATTTGGAGTGTTTTAATTCATCAACTCATTAGAGATTGGTTTTACTTACTTTTCATGTGACATCACTATTACTTTGTTAAGTTGAACATTTAAACCTGAACCTTCGATAAACTTGGAAAGATATTCTTGAGGATTTAGGTTGGAAATTAACTAAGGTTATCATTTGTGAACAATACAAATGTTTGGTACTCTTTTAAAAGGTCTTACTTGGGGTTATTTTGCCTTATTTCTTGCTGAATAATAAACAACAGATAATTTCTTCCAAAGGAAAAAAGATTAAAAAAATTTATAACAAATGTCAATCTAATTCGCAATATTCCGGCCTCCTGTTAAATATTTACCCAAAACCATGACTAGAGAAAAATACCTGATACACATATCTATATTTCTTAAAACATTTCTCATATAGAAATTTTTAGCTTGTACATGAAATAGATATAGTAGACTATCACGGCACAAAATAGATATAAAACATCGTCTGTAGCAACAGAAACAAGGCCGCGTAGCTAGAAGTGTGTAACTGGTACGTATCATGTCGTCCCGAGACTGTCGATAGTGATCAAAAATATTTCTCCTGAAATTCTAGTGTGATGATTTCCGGTCGAGCAATTCACAACTCTGCATGTGTCTAGTTTTCATAAGAAATAGAAAATCCATAGAACATGATAGTTGGTGGGAGCTTGTCCAACGGAAATACCAATGAGTACAAATATCCACGAGTACAAGTATCCACGAGTACAAGTATCCACGAGTATGTACTACATACAGCACATTGTACTGTAGCTAGAATGTGGAGCCCTTTGTAATCAGGATAGGGCAGCTAAAGCTAAAACATAAAAAAGCTCAGAAAATATATTAGTGAATTTCCAAAAAGATATAGAGCTAAATTTGTATGTTCATTTTACAGGGGTTCAAAGCAGTCACAAGGAAAACAAAACAAAAACTTTGTACATTTTCTGATATTTCTCAAAAAAAAATCATATTTTGAAAAGTGTTTAAATAGATTTTAAACAGCTGGAACCTAAATTTAAAAAAAGAATAATGTTTATTTTCTTCCAATAAAGGTATATCTGGTATAAGTATGTAAATATGTGAAACATTTATATACATAAACATTGAAGGTCATATGATGAAGCAAAAAACAACCTCAAATATGGTCACAGTGTCACTCATTAAAATATTTTGAAAAGAATTGTTTTGTTATTAAATAAATTGACAATGCTAGGAATGAATAATATCGTATATCATACAGGTTTTTAATTGAGAAACGATGTTCATTAAATGAAATCAAACCCTGGGACAGTTCTAGTGTGATCTCATTAGTAACTAAGGTTACTGGGCATCAATGGTTTTCAGGTAGAGAGTAATTTGGTAGGTGCTAGTGGAAGGAAAGCCATTTAAGAGTTGAGGACAAAGAGACGGGTTTTACTCACCGTTGGACTACAAGAGCCGATAGCTGTATATCTGTGTAGTAATGGGATTTCTTTTTAAACATTTGATGGATATTTGTCTGACGATATATTTGGGAAAACGATTTAAATTTACACCACATTGAATCGAGCTAAGGAGCACAATGTAAGTCCCCTTGCCTCTAATGTGAGCGCTGGTGGAATCACAGGTCGAACGGTTTGAAAATCCATTAAAATTTAAAGAAAATGTTAAAAAAACTTGTCGATTGCTGTTCTTCTTTCCTCTTTACAAACCTTACAAACTTAACTCATGCCATCAGGTGATCTTAAACAATCGTCTCAGCCATTTACTTAGATTAACTCGGTATAGGTTTTCAAATCCGAGACAAATTTGAAATATTGTTAGGACCGGGACATTAATATTCTAAGGTTTAATGGCTTAAGTCACACAGGCACTGCCTGATCACATGACTGGCCACAGATTGTGTTTCAAAAATTATTTCAAAAATGAACATATCCTTGTCTGAGGCATACAGCCCATGTCAAAGAAACTGTCTCGTGTATTAAAAATGATATCTGGCAGGTGACCTTTAAAAGATGAATTTTATATGACCCCAAATTTTAAATATTATCCCAAACAATGTTTTTGTCTGATGTTGTTAACAACCTGTAGGAGGGGCTATTGTATATATACTGTTTATGTAAAGTTACATTTTGTTTGTTTACACGCCTTAAACATTTCTGTGTTTCGTTTAAAGATAATTTTTGATATCTAAATATATTCTTCTTGGATTAATGGACGATATGAAGTTACATTTCTGATATGAAGTGACATTTCTGACCGCAACAAAATCATTGTTTATGTTGGTTTTGTTTGTTCATTTTATATGCTTTGCACAAAAACAGGACTGGCATTATTAGTTTTGTAGCTAATGTACTACAGTGTTCATGATTCCCCAAAAACTGGTTTGTTTCCTGATCCCGTACCGGATCCCGTACCGGATACCGTACCTCCCGTACCGGATACCGTACCGGATACCGTAGATACCGGATACCGTACCGGATACCGTACCTCCCGTACCGGAGACCGTACCGGATACCGTACCCTAATTCTTTTAGAGAAGTAACAGGAAACATGTTGATTAAAAACGTCCAAACATAACGTGTCATTACCTCAACAACAAACTATTGACATGGTTTCCCTAGCTGTTAAAGATATCAACTAAATAGAACATCAGGACTGTGTATAGTTAATACTGGATGTTACCAATGATAAGCCCTATCCAGTAATAAGCCCACCCCCTGAAAAATTGACAAGAGTAATGCCACCTTTTGGGGGATAAGTCCAATTATATAAATGGTTAAACTCACCCTCAGTACCCATATCTACAGTATTTTAGGAATTTTGTACCGGTAAATTCATCACAATATTTGTTTTCAAACTTTGCAGTCATGCAAGAGAAATTAATCTAAACTTAAGTGTATTTTTCACTTCTCTCCTTATTCTTTCGTGAGTTCTCTCCCCTTCTGATACAAGTCCACGTACATGTGGTAAAAGTCAGATTTAGGAAATTTCTTATTTAATATGGGTCAGTGTTTTGGCGGATAAATAAAAAAAAAATGTCAGGTATTTATTGGTAGTATGGATCACAATTTAGTAGAATTTCTCCAGAGACTAAAAAAATTGTGATGTACGGCATGAGAGAAAGTGAACTTGGGCCAGTGTTTTTTCTCCGTGAATTAGACGTTATTGCAGGCAGTAATAAGAAATTTTCATTGGTAATATAAATGTTTTGTGTGGTTGTAAGCTCTGGTTTAGTGTTGAGGCTGATACCGGAAGGCGACAAGCCGTGATAAAACTAGTGATTTGTGGGACACTTAATGCCGGTCATTAATGTTCATTAATACAATACACATGTTGGATGTTTACTACACGACCTTCACTTTCCATCTTTAAACTGATCGCCTGTTTTACACGGCAGCAGAAAACCTGGTAAAGTCATTAATTTTCGACTGTACAACATGTATTTATACAACTTTGAAGTTTGGGTAACCCTATAGGCTTAAGGAGATCTATAAATTTAAAAACGAAAGGTATTAATCAGGAATCAGCTTATTAAAATATCGCTATGACAACCCGAGGCACACCCATAATTACACAGTATAAATCTGTTTGACTGATTTTGTTCCGACATATTTTCACAAAGAATGTTTTTGTGAATACATATAATACTGTACAGTATTACAACAGGACAGTTTATGACGTAACATTTACTGCTGTACAGTATTACAACAGGACAGTTTATGACGCAACATTTACTGCTGTAAAAACAGATCTGCACTCAAGACAAAATGACATGAAGCTTTAACATTTTATAATTTTTTATTTTCAGATCATTACCGGATTTTATCATCAGGGGGGTTACAAATCACCAATACATCTAAATCGGACCAGGGCCAGTATCACTGTATCGCCATTAATCCATTCACCAATCAAAACAGAACCGCGGATCATGTGATCAACCTCAATGTCAGAACTTCATCTGCAGGTAAGTTCCTTAGTTACTGTTACCGATGTAAACAAACGCTGGACTGACAGCTTAACTCAGGCAAGTTCCTTAGTTACTGTTACCGATGTAAACAAAGTCAACTCTGGTCTGACAGCTTAACTCATTCACCTCTACAGTTTTAAACTGGACTAGCCCAGTCTTTGATTTGGTAAGGTTCAAATGTGACTTTAGGGGTGAATGGGTTAATTACACATAACCTCAGATTAAGGAAATATTTAGGCTAGATGAAACCCCCTGGAATGGTTTCTGTCCTCCAGGAATTCTGAGGTCCCAAACGATCCCTCTAGGAATCCCCCAGTCCACCGTGGATCAGTCCTCCAGGATCTCTGAGGTCCCAAACGATCCCTCTAGGAATCCCCCAGTCCACCGTGGATCAGTCCTCCAGGTACTCTGAGGTCCCAAACGGTCCCTCTAGGAATCCCCCAGTTCACCGTGGATCAGTCCTCCAGGATCTCTGAGGTCCCAAACGGTCCCTCTAGGAATCCCCCAGTACACCGTGGATCAGTCCTCCCGGATCTCTGAGGTCCCAAACGGTCCCTCTAGGAATACCCCAGTACACCGTGGATCAGTCCTCCAGGAACTCTGAGGTCCCAAACGATCCCTCTAGGAATCCCCCAGTACACCGTGGATCAGTACTCCAGGAACTCTGAGGGCCCAAACGGTCCCTCTAGGAATCCCCCAGTACCCCGTGGATCAGTCCTCCAGGATCTCTGAGGTCCCAAACGATCCCTCTAGGAATCCCCCAGTCCACCGTGATCAGTCCTCCAGGAACTCTGAGGTCCCAAATGGTCCCTCTAGGAATCCCCTATCCACCGTGGATCAGTCCTCCAGGAACTCTGAGGTCCCAAACGATCCCTCTAGGAACCCCCCAGTACACCGTGGATCAGTCCTCCAGGAACTCTGAGGTCCCAAACGGTCCCTCTAGGAATCCCCCAGTCCACCGTGGATCAGCACTATCAGTTCCTTTTGAGAAAATCCTGTCAAACTTTAGAGACTGTGAGGAATGGGCTTGTGAAAGCCTGTTGTCATAAACAGTTGCTGTTCCTATTCAAATTGAAGGTTTTATATATCAAATGTTATTTGAAAAAAAAGGATTTTCTTTAAATTCAAATTTACCTTTATTTCCCTGTTCATCATCTAGATATGATTATTCCAAACCAGGAAATTTATAGGTCAAATGTTTCCCAAATAGTTTTCAGTTTTCTGTGAAGAACATAATGATATAAATAACATCTGAATTTAGCAACACAACTGGTAAATGCTGGGGATTACGGTTATCCTAGGATGGTGGCAGCTCTGTATGGTACGATAAGCTTCTTGTACAAACATATTTATAATCTGTCAAAATGTCATCAGCAAGTTTAAAATGGAAACCAGTTTGTGCAAAACTACCATCGAATGGGGACCGTCCATTTCTATCTGTTTATTACAATATTCAGCAACAAATGGCTTTAGAATTTTTAACAAACAGCTGCACCGAAAATTGACACGAACTTTATGTACAGAATGTACCTAACTTTATGTACAGAATGTATCGTATTGAAAACAATCTCACACCTATGGGAACGCAGTGTGTGCTACGGTAGCATGAGTCTACTCTCCAAATGGGAAAATGAAAATTTGACCTAATAAATTACATATAGGGATACATAACTTGGTAGGGACCACCAGGATAGGCACTCTCTGATAGGCTGGGCGCTTTTTATTTATGAAAAATTGGAGGAATATTTTTAAAGGGTGCTGGCCCTGGATGTCATACAATGAATGGAGCTGACAGTAACTCATTGATTTATGAACTGAGAAACACACAGAAGAATTTTCTACCTTCTCCATATTTTATATCAGCTATACAAAGGTGGGGCTATTTTTTAAAGTCAAAAGTTCTTACAGGATGATGGGTATAAAAATATTTCTATGTAAACAAAAATAACTTACAGGAAGGGTATAAAGATATTTCTATGTAAACAAAAATAACTTACAGGAAGGGTATAAAGATATTTCTATGTAAACAAAAATAACTTTTCCGACATTTTTGAGAAACAAGATTTGATTTACAAGTCAACTGAATGTTGAAGTTACAAACCTGCAATGAAACATATTGATAGGAAAACTCAAACTTCTGTAATCAGCTGTTTCCTAGGTAACTAGTGGCATAGTGGTTGGCTCGTCCGTCCTCTGACTAAGTGGTCAACAGTTTCTCTTCCCCCGTGGTCTATTTCACAAGTTAGTCTCATTTAGATTGTTTGATTGCTCGAGATAAACTCATTTTGTATATAGTTTTGATCATCTTTGGATTGACAGGGATTTTATACTACGCCAGGTATACAACTGTTTGTCCTGTCAATGTTAGGAGAACTGAACCAACCGTCATTGTACCAGTCAAATCTTAAACTATTCAGATATCTAAAGCAACGGGTTCGTCACATACATGTCGCCATGGTCACAAAATCATCATTGGCAGTTTCATTTTTACGGCAGCAATATCAATGAAATTAATTTGCCAGATTTGTATGAAATCATTCAACATTAAAGTCACAAAATATTACCATAAATGTCACAGACATTGGCATGACTGTTTTACACAGGTGAAAAGCCCTGTTAGTACAGACAAGAAACGTAAAATTTAAAATAGAAGTTGTGTTAAAAACTAGGTTTATAATGGCTCCTGACTTACTTACTTATAGTTAACTTATTAAAAAAAAGACCCAAAAGAAGAATGATAAAACTGTTGAGTAAGACCTTTCAGATATCTGGGGTTTTAAATGGTGAGAGGTTCGGCCATATCTTTTCGTCTCGCATAACCCGGGCACAGGTAACAACAAAGCGCCATACGATTTCGTCGACATATTCTACATTTGCGTCCTTTGTGTTGCGACTTGATAACAACTGTTTAGGCTAAGAGAAGGGTTTTTGTATTCACATTGGTGTCACCATGTGAAACTGATACAGAGGCCATTGTCATGTACTCAACCTGTTCTCCATAGTCAGCTATCCGTAAACAAGAAAAAATACACAGGTACGAAAAACACAGGCACACAAATACTAGGAGTAAGACAGGTACACCTGATCATAGTCAGTAGTTATCATGACACAGGTAGTCAATATTTTATTACATAGGTAAGTAATAGGTAATCACGACACAGGTACAAATAACTATATAAGTAAAAAGAGTATTCAGGTATGCCGTTTAATTTACACAGGTATGCAAAATGTTATTGTAACGAAAGACAATAGGACGATTTTAAAATACATTGTTCTGGAAGTGCATGCAATTTGCCAAGTAATGGCCTTAATGTCAATCAGATATTCTGTCTTATTAAGGGATTAAGATTAAAGTGGAAGACAAGGTGTAATTAAATGTATGGTCTGGATGGGTGTATTTTAACTCTAAGTAGGTGTGATTGTTCATCTCGTCCGCCAGCTCGTACGGGATTCTGGAAATAAGTCGGCTATGTATCAGTTTATGTGTGAAATTAATTTGACCAATATAAGTGAATTGATGTTTGGTACCAATAGGTCAAATAAAGTCATTAACATAAATCTAATGAGCTTGGGGACACTTCCTCCATTCTGATTGGCTGTTCATCAGGGGAGTTAAATTAATCTAATTATACTTATATTAACTAGTGCACTGTGATTCCTGTGCATCTCCGACAAGTTGTTCATAAAACAATTTAGCACCACACCTATATATAATACTTAGGAATACAAAGATTCAATTTTATATTGAGTGGTACAATTTTTTGGCTTTTCCTAATTTGTTAAAAAATTACTGAGACAGGATTACTGCAAATGTGTATATATTTACACTCTCTGATAGTAATCGTTTTGTTTGAGTTTTAATTTTAATGATTAAGAAATTTCGATATTTCCTAATTGCTCTAGGGGTGGATGCTGCATTACGTCCAAATATGTGTCATTGATTAAAGAATTCCATGAAATGAAATCTTTTGACGTTTTACATATCCAAATAAATTTTGTCTCAATAACACTGACAACATTTGAGGGATACAAAAGAATACAAGAATAAAACAGAAATATCAGAAATCATCAGAAAAAAATAAGGGAAGGTAACTCTCAATATAAATCACAGATATTATTTCTCTGGTAGCATGTTTTCTTATAATTTGTTAAATTAGTGAAAATCAATTACAATTAATATCAGTCATTTTTTTTTTTTGATTTAAATAAAAAAATCAAACTTACCTCCAACCCATTCCCAAGAACATACAAAATTACGGTTGACATATTGAATACACTGCAGTTATTTAGTCTAATTTAAACAGTTGTTGAAAAAGAAATTTAAGAATGTTACTGTACGTGTAATCAGTTAAGTCTTGCTTCTAAATGAATGTGTCATATTTTTATTCAACAGAGCAACTGTGTATTAATTACGGAGACATTTTTTCCATCCATGTTTCACATATTTTAAGCAGACTGAAAGAAATATGGCTTTATTAAATTTTGGTTACAAAAGTTATACCTCAACATAGGACAAATACTGTGATTTATAATGACCTTATAATCACCGAAATATTATATTACATAATTTCCAATGAAAACAAATCTGTGTTCTGTCGACAGTGAAGTATACAGGGGGAGTCTGATTACAAACTTGGTGCAGGTGCAAACAATATAATCGCGTGTTTCCTACTATCAAGCCGCAGTCTTAACAGGCCGCCATTCTTAAGTCTTCCAGCAAAATAAATATGATGTGTATTAAAATAATTTTGGCAGGTTATGACATCAAGCGATATGCTTGATCTTACAACTTTTCCTTTGGCAAACTTGTTTGAAATCTAATTTCTGGACGAAGTTAAAACAAAATTTAAATACTTTGTCGACTTATATGTCACTGCTCAACTTGTATCATTGGTGTTCGACTTTCCTCCACTCATTTACGCTTCAAGGACTTTATAAAACAAAATCTTTAAAATAAAAAAACATGTCCATTTTGACAGATTATAATCCCCTTGTGG